TTCAACAGGCACATAAGGCAATAATTCCTCTTAAGGTAGAACAGGTATTTCAGCTTACAAGCTACAATATTTTAAATTAACTTGACCCACTATGTGGAAAAGATGGGCCTCTTGCCAAAAGTTAATTTGGAATTCACATTATTCCAAAATTTGCACATAAAATGATGTTTCATTAATTCTGATTATACTCTCACATTTTATGAGTCAAAGTCCATGTAAGTGCAATCTGTCTCTTCTCTATGTGCTATGTATTGAAAACACTGTCCCTCACTTTTTAACATGTAATATAATTTCTTATACGTTGTCATGCCACTTTTTCTGCCTCTAAATTTTAGTCCACTTGTCATATTTTCTGTGAAGCTCCTTCTCCATGTGTCTGTCCTTCATTCTTTGTGCTACAACTGTCATATTTCTCACGCTTATTCAGTGTTTGTTTGAAGACCTACGTTGACCATTAGTGTATGAGTTCCTAATGGAAAATGCCACTGTTTTATCTCTGCATCACCGTCCTTAACAGAGTACCAGGGGCACAGTACATGCATTGTAAGTTTAACTACTGAAATACCATGAGAAAAATTTAAGCAAATGAAATAGTACAGAAGCATAAACTAATACATAGCTTCCTAAGAGAACCAGGGCTGCTCCTTGCTGTATGGCATTTGGCAATTTAACAAAAAAGGTTTGTAATCAGAGACAAAACCAACAAGAATTAAAGCACACCCCAATTCCCTGACTATTCTTTAAGTAGATTAATCTTTACGAAAACTATCATTGGTTTTCACACAATGACAGCAAACAGCTGAATGGGAAGAAGCATCAAGAATCCGAAACTAAATCAGAAATAGCAATGGATTTCAAATTCCAGTTCTGATTTGTTAATAGTCCTTGTCTTAAACTGTATAAAAAAAGATTTCAAGACCATACCAGAGTACAGGGGAAGTGTGTCATAATTGATTAGTGATGTCTGCCTTGGGTATGGATGGAGAAACATTTATCTACCTGCCAAATATTTCTGATCCCTGTATTAGTTCTGGGCAGATTTTAGTTTGTGTTTAGATTCTGAGGCGCTATCTGTTACATGTAGAAGATCAAAAGGTCTTGGTCTATATTCTCAGCCTCACAAGAAATACTGCTGGGGAACACCACTGTCTACCTATTCTATTGGTATCTCTGGTCCCAAGACCAGGGACTTGGTTCTGACTTTTTAATGGTCTCTGGCCCAAGTCTTGGGACTGATGCTTCATTTAGACATTCTAATCTTTGACTTTGTCTTTGACTGTGGATTAGTGTCTTTCTGATCTCCTGGTTCCTTGATTTCTGGACCTTCACTTTGCTTGAAATGGGAGTTAATTGATTCCCAAAGGTTCTGAAGTTAAGAATCAAGTAAATATTTACAGGATGTCTTCTGTAAATGGGAAGAAAGTAGTAAGGCTTTTAAAAAGTATGGTTGGTATCTACTGGCATTTTTCCAGCAAACTTGAAAAGTGAATAGTTCTATGCCCCATTCTAGACCTGTCAAACCAGTAGGGGATTACAGGGTTGGGGAGATATGTGATAATTTGTTAAATTCCTCAGGGGATGATCATGAACATGAACACAATTTGAAGAACCACTGAGATAAGAACCCTGAACTGGCTCAAAGTTTGCCTATAGTTGCCCCAATTCGGTCATTTAGTGACCAAAGGCTCCAGTGCAAATCAAGTTACTTAAGTTTTGTAATGTACTCTGGTTCTGTTATAATATGCACAGAAAAGTGGCCTGTGGGTACCATTTTAGAGGACACAATTCTTTCTTCAAGCCACTTTCCTTTTTAGCAATTTTCTCTGTCCTTCAATTGCCTCAATCTTTTTCTTTTTCCTCTTCTTACCATCCTCCTATCTAAACAAACACACTTGTACACAAAGGAAGACCTTTGAGAACCTATGATCCCATTCCTTGTGTATCAAGATCATTTTCCCTTTGTAGAGTGACATTGCACAAAGCATGTCTCCCTGCCTGTGTATAAGGATATGCTGACTTACCTAGAAAACTCTTCAGGCAATAACTGGCTACAAAGCTCCAGATGAACATATCATCTATAGAATTTTTCAGATTTTGACAGGGTAGGCTGCATGTTCCCTACCTGAAGCATACTTCTTTTCCTAGATGTGCAACTCTCTGTATAGATACAAACACAAGGCAAGCTTTTGCTTTTTATAGAAAATATTCTAGTACTCAACAGATAGTGCCAGAACAAAATAATGGGATGTTATCACATCACACTGGGCCAGCCAGCTTCCACTGTGCTATTGATGTACCAGTTTTAGTGTGTTCTTGCATCATTACATCACCTAAATATAATTCCTGAATCATTCCCTTGTGGTTACAGTTCACCACTTCCATCCCTGGCCACGTGGTAAGATGCTCATTCTAGAAGTCATGGGGTTAACAATGATAAAACAAGATAGCAGTGTCTTCCATATCCTCCTTAATAAAAGCAAAAATAAACTTCATGGGGGTTAATATTTTGCAAAAAAAATAAAAATAAATAAATAAGGAAAAGAACACTGCTTGCTCTTAATGTTGTGCTAATAAATTTGACAGAAGTTTTTACAGATATTCCTAGCATAATCAATATAAATTCAATTTCTTGAAACAGTAAATTGTTATTACTGAACTCACTGCCTAATCTTATTTTTCCTGTTATAACTCTTTGATTTAAAACACTTAAACTGTTAGATCTAAAGAAAAATGAAAAAGCTGTGATTTTGTAGGTTGCTGGCTTGGCAAAAATCCCTTCTGATGTGATCTCTTTGATAATGTGCCACTTTCCACATTTTAAATGCCATAGATTCATGTATACACGCTGGTATTTTCTCATTGGTTGTGCATGCTTCTCTAGCCATATGCCTATAAGTGGATGTGCATTTTCATATAATAACTTACTGTTCCCATTTGGCAATTCTGTGCCTTTAATTGTGTCAATCAACCACGTAAAATTTCATAACCTATTGAGAATACCCAAAGAAAAATACGTGCCTTTTGCTTGAAGACAGCTTAAATTTCCCCACACTCCAATTCTACCAACACATTGTTCTCTAGAACAATTAGAATTTAATTCCTGAAACCTTGTTTTAATTTCAGATTTTTAAATGAATGTATAAATTATACCTGTGACCTTACTGAAAAGATCCATAATCATGACAAGAAATGAAAAATGAAATGGTAGAGACATATATTGTCAAACAGGCATTACAATCAGACTCATCTATAAAACCACTATAATTATTTTTCCTTTTTATATTCCTCAAGAATAAACTTATGGGAAAGGTTTTATGTCTTTAACCTGTTGCATGAGGTATTGAGTTGTTTTAATAACAAAATAATTATTATCTCCATAGGCTTTTATGATACTCATCATTCCCTATAAAAAGTTCAATAGTTATTAACTTACCAGCATATATTTGGGGATTTTTTTTTCTTCTCTCTATTGTATTTTACCACTCTAACTCATATTTTACTATTCCCTTGGCCCAGGAATACACAGAAGAAATAAAATGATATTCAAGTTGGTTTCACAGACAGTAAACATACATTATGAAATTGAAACATGCTACGCTTATTGAGCATATATTTTAGAAGAACTTTCTCTAAAATACTTTATGACTAAAACCATAATCTGGAACTATTCACTCTCCTTGATTTTAGATTCTGTGTGGCTTCATGAAATATTTACTTTTTTAAAAACACAGTTCAAAATTATAGCCCCTCTGAATTACACAATTTAGGTAAAATACATCTTTTCAGCTGGAAAACTAGAAGCCATTAATCCTTTGTATGATTATATGGAGAACAGAGGTAACAAAGAAAAACTAGAGTAATCTAATTCTGGGATACACAGGTTGTTGTAAATTTTTAGACATTCTGAGTCAATCCTTGTTTTTCCCACTTAAGTCCCTGAATGTTTCAGAGATTTGTCCAAAGTAACATGGAAGCAGACTAGACCCCCGATGTGCTAACATCTAATCAAGCTATCCCTAGACCCTCTTGTGCTGAGTATGTCAGTTAGAACTCTAGGTCACAGTTGTACTAACCTGCCAGAGCTGCCTACATCCAGTGAAAGACACCATATCTTATCAGTATCAATATATTAGGGTTGATATTACATGAAACTATAGCCACGTGGGTGAGTATAGGAGTCAGATGTATAAGAATCATGTCGGAATCTGCCATAGAATTGTCTAAATCAAAGATTCACAAGACTTATAACTACCTGGAAGGTGCGTGTGAACTAGCAAATATGTTGGCCTCAAAGTTTCACAGCTTGATGACACTAGCTCTGCACCAAATATTGACTCTTCCTCTTTCAGAAAGTCATGTCTCTGATCTCACTATGAATTGCTGGATGTGATTAATGTCCATCTAGTTGTAGGGAGACTACAGTGAAATGCTAACCAAATCTTTCCTATAGTCACCCACCTGGGTATATATTGTGCATATACAACTGGGCAACTCTATTCTGTTGTAAAGCTTGAGTACTAGATGCAATGGACAGCAATAGCCTAGGTAGCCACTAGGAAGAGAGAGAGAGCATTTACACTGGTGATAATAATGACCATCACACACTCCCCCACCTGGAGGAGAAGGTACTATGCTCCTCTTTTCCTATCCCCCAAAAATATGTGGGTAAGTGGAGAAGGTGGGGAATAAATGAGTATGAAGGGTTATTTTAGATAGATTAGATAATTTTATACTAGATAATCTCTCATTACATTTAATAATTCTATAATTTAATTAATTTGAAAATGCTACATCTGGTTGGTTTCCAGTGGAATGAATGTGGCTCAGTTTTAGATTCTTAGAGCACTGAAGTCTACTAGACCTTGAATTGGTTCTCTACTCTTGGGAATACCATTCTGCATATAGAGAACTTCTTACTTTATACAATCAATTTGGTTTCAGTACTTACAAAAATCAACACATTTTCAAAAAAACATGTTATGATGTGCATTTTCACTTACCTTTTCCGCTGATTGAGCGGTGCCAAAAAAAATTGGAATGAAGGCAAGCCATACTATACATGTCGTGTACATAGTGAATCCAATGGGCTTGGCTTCATTAAAATTCTCTGGTACACCCCGAGTCTTGATGGCATACACAGTACATGTGACCATGAGAAGAATGCTATATCCCAAGGAGCAAATGATTTGGAGATCTGTAATGTCACACTTGAGAACTCCTCTGGCTTGCTCAGGGTTCATCGTCTTATGTTCATCATAGTCTATGATGATGTTGGGTGGATCAACACCAAACCAAATGAAAACCCCTAGAAGCTGAACTGATATTAAACTGGAAGTGATTGCCAGTTGTGATGTTGGGCTTATGAGTCTGGGAGCTGTTACCGATTTCTTGCCCTGCTCAAATATGCGATAAATCCGATTTGTTTTCGTCAAGAGGGCTGCATAACTGATGCACATACCCAAGCCCAAGAAAACACGCCGGAAAGAACACACTGCCACATCAGGTTTGGCAATCATCAGGAAAGTGATGATGTAGCAAAGAAAGATGCCCGTCAAAAGAACATAGCTGAGTTCCCGCCCAGATGCCCGGACAATGGGCGTGTCATTGTAGCGGATGAAAGTGGCCATAACAAAGATGGTGGCAATGATCCCCAACATTGCCAGGAAGACAGGAATCACAGCCCAGGGGGAGTGCCACTCCAGTTTGATGATGGGAATATCTTGGCATCCGGTTCGATTTTCATTGGGCCTCTGGTCATAGGGACAATGCTGGCATGTCATCTCATCAAACTGGTACTGGTAACCATCGCAAGGCTCACAGGTCCAACAGCAAGGAGTTCCTTTCTGTGTCTTCTTTCTCTGTCCAGGCTTACATGGTAGTGTGCACACTGAGGGAGGTATCTCTCGGACTCCTTTACCCCACTGCATGTCTTCTATCTGTAACATAAGAAAGAAGAAGGTGAATCAGGCAGATTCTTCAAGAGAGTAGAAAAAGAACACCAGCAACAAACAGTACTCATGGCAAGTGACATTTCAGCTGTGATGAGGTTGAATTAGCTTTCCCTCAGCTTGCAAGAGTTACAAGTATGATTTGAGCCCATACCATAGGACTCCAGCATCCTCGCTCTTCACCATTAGTGTGTTCTCAACATGCCAGATCTTAAGAATTCCCTGAGGCGATACAAATTCCCTCTTCCCATTCCTGACTTTCCAAATATGAACATCCTGAAAAAGAACCTGAGGGGCTGTATTTATAACAAGTGCCCAGAGGATTCTTGTGAGCAGATAAATTGAGAAAAACTGGCATGCAGTCTACTGTCTTCCCCTGGGTAATAAGTGTAAATGTCCCCAATCAAGTAAAAAACAAAAACAAGAAACTACGGCAGTACGAAAAGCTACACTCACCTCCTTTGTTAGGTGTTTTATTTTTTAAAAATGTTCTAAAATTATTTTGGATAATACTGTAGTGCTGGCTATCTTCCCTAAAATTCTGTAAGCATTACTGTCATTTTCACTGAGAACTTTTGCAGCAATGTGAATCTATTATCACAGGGGAGAAGTGGGGCTTACTACTGAAGGCTTTAATTGTATTAGACTATTTCCTATGAATTCAGGAATTATTTGATAAGAAAATAATATGGTCTGGAAACGTTTCAAGGTTGGCCATCCCCCATTTGCAGATGACATTTAGACTATCCTAGAGGAGAATGTATTTGCTTAATTGAAACACTGGTTTTCTGGAGGGCAACATAACCAGCAGTGTTCTGAGAAATAATGGCATTAGATACAACAGGAAACTTTACTATTGGGTGGAAATCTCATTAGAGTAGGCATCTCTCCTCTTTGCCAGCACAGCATCTGCTCTTTCTCTTCCCTGGTATCAGTTCCTCAGATTCCTTTTCCATATGCTTTCTGTGCAGTTGAACTTACACTGAAGCTCTTGGGTTGTGCACATGACCCAGGCCTAACCAATTAGTATATTGTAGTGGTTCTCAAAATTAAGAATGCATCACAATTATATGGACTTGTTACAATAAAGTCTGCAAGATTTTCTGATTCATTGGATCTGGGATGTGGCCTGAGGAATACGCATTTTTTGTTTGTTTGTTTGAGACTGAGTCTCACTCTGTCGCCCAGGCTGGAGGGCAGTGGCGCGATCTCGGCTCACTGCAAGCTCCAACACCCAGGTTCACGCCATTCTCCTGCCTCAGCCTCCCGAGTAGCTGGGACTACAGGCGCCCGCCACCACGCCTGGCTAAGTTTTTGTATTTTTAGTAGAGACGGGGTTTCACCGTGTTAGCCAGGATGGTCTCGATCTCCTGACCTCGTGATCCGCCTGCCTCGGCCTCCCAAAGTGCTGGGATTACAGGCATCAGCCACCGCGCCCGGCCAGGAATATGCATTTTTAACAAGATCCCAGGTGATGCTGCTGAGGATTGTTCAGGAACCACATTAGTCAACTACTGATACATTCCAACCTCCTGGCCACAGAGATTGGGTCAGAGATGGCATAATTATGTCCCAGGTCATAGAATTTAATGTCATGACTTTTTCTGAGGTCCCATAGGATAAAAATATTTGTTTTCATTGGACTCAGAGTTTCTAGGATATAAGGTGGCTAGTGCTGATGGCTAAAAGAAGGAGTTTATTAGAGACAGAAGCCAACATAGAGGGAAGTTAAGTGGAAAGACAAAGATCACTGGTGAGCTTGTTTGAGTTCCTGGATATAGTTATCCCCGAAGCAAGAATTTTCCTAGACTATGACATTATTTAAGCCAATAAATTTATCTATTTTAAAATACTTTGAACTTTATTATTAATCCTTGCAACCAAGAGTCCTGAGCAATATATGCATGAAATAGTTTTAGTATTCACAAGTCACAAAAGATGTACTACCTCTGCAAGTTAAACAGAATAATTCCAATTAACAATTAAGGCTGATTTTCCCCATAAGTAGTTAATTGAATTTTTAATACAATTGAACTAAACAATAGACTAGAAAAATACTGGAAAGTCTGAGACATGTTTTCAAGTGCATAATTTTAAGACATAAAGGCAAAAGATAAATAATATGTTGCATATTGGAATTTCAGTGTTGTGTTAATATACTGAATGAAATGCATAGCAGAGAGTGATTCTTCCATCAATGCTTGAATGTGAACTACATTCAAATTCTGAATTGGATGTAGTTAACTCAGAAAAATAAATGGCTCAGGAGTTAAACTTGGTAAAACAGCATAACCTTTTAATGGTTGAATTTAAACTTTAACCAGAGACCCAAGTATCTTCAGATGACTCTAGTGTGAACTTATTTTACCAAGCATAAAACCCAAGTCAGCACTAATAAATCACTAACTATAAAGCACAATCTTCTCTTTCTCAATATGATAATTTTTGAGACAATAAGTCACTGGAAGCCATCTCAAAGTCATAAAATTAGGGAAATAACTTATGACAGGAGAGAAAGATATGCATTGACTTTACAAATGTCAAATTTCAAGAATTGGGAACTAAAAAAATTGCTGGTATTAATACAACAAAGATAAATACATTTGCTTGATTTCAACATTAGTGGTTACTAATGTGCCACATAATTAAACTTTACAGGAATAAATGTAGGGCTCCTACAAATATATAAACAAATTATTATCATATGTAATACCTTACAGCCAGTTTCAAATGCTGCCAACTCATTATTTTTCTGTTGGAATAAAACAAAATACCTGGCAATGCTGCACAGCTTTTTATTTTCTCAACTTATCCAAATATATACAAGAGCTGTAACCATGGACATCACACTGACTGATCACTTCATTTGTTTTCATTTTTCGTTTAAAGCAGGTTTCAACTCAATTTAATTGTATATGTTAAACCAACAAAGATTCCTCCCGCTCCAGATGGATAAAAGTCTCATTTACTCCCTTTGCTAACAAAAATCATTATTGCAAATATAATCTGTGTTCCACGAAGGTACTGATTAACCTTTAAAAGCTCTAGTAAATGAGAATTTTGTTAATATGATGTGTATCATTTGTATATATCTACACCCATCCACACAGATACGCTGCCTTGTTTCATAAGAAATAATCAGCTGCAAATGCCCATGGGTATCTATTTTAAAGGAAGATAATTATTTAATGCTATGAAAATCAAGTCTAATGTCAGTTTACTTTTCAAGAAGGCTAACAGGAATGTAAATTTCAAGTTTCTCCTAAACTCTGCAAAAAAACTGTGTTTCAGTTAGCTGGAAAGCCAGATGTAAGGTGCAGAAAGATTAAGAAAAAGACTGACGTGTTTATCATCTTCTTCATTAGAAGATGCAAGTTTACATTTCTCCATAAAGATGCATTTTCCCCCTGGACATCCAACGTTTATGGCTTTAGGGTACCTGGTCTGCTTAGTAGGTGGCTCCTGGGGAAGGGCTCTTGAGATCCTAGCTTTTGGCAAGAGAACAGAACTTTACATCTCCATCTCATAACAAAAACTGACACTATACATGGCAAATAGATTGCACAGATAAATGGATCAATAGTTTAGGCAAAGAGCAAATTATGCAGTTCTGGTCAAAGAAAGCAAAAATAAGCTGCTTGTAGAGTCCTAGGAAAGTGTTTTTCATTCTTATACAAGTGGAACAAAGAACGACTATGCTATTGTTAACTTAAAAAAAGAAACTCAGACAGACACGCTGTCTGGAACAAAAGATTTCATTTGGGAAGAGCAAAGGGTTGTAACCCGGGGTGTGCAGCACACCCAAGCAAAATTAAGACAAAGGAAAGACACCCACACAAATCGCTTTGAAAGAAAGGTCACTGGTCTCAGAAGCTCACTACAGGAGTTGTCATTAGTTCACTGGGGGAGGTAGTCATTGGTAGGCAACTGTCCTGATCTGAGGTTCTTATCTGAAATACTGTAGGCCAGAGAAAATTCCTGTGAGAAGCTCTTCTTGCTGTTTGCAAGCTATGAGCAAGACATTCAGGGATGCAAGTATGTCAGCTTCTTTGTTATGGCCCTCACTAACTCTATTTTGGTTAGTGTTTTGACATGTGACTCTATTTTGTACTTCTCACTTCCACACTGCCTTCAGCCTTTGAACTTTGATTTGTGCATACATGATGGTTGGAGCTATAGCAGCCATTTTTCAACAAGAAAAAGACAAGCTGGCTGGGCACAGTGGCTCACGCCTGTAATCCCAGCACTTTGGGAGGCTGGGGCAGGTGGATCACGAGGTCAGGAATTCAAGACCAGCCTGGCCAACATGGTGAAACCCTGTCTCTACTAAAAATACAAAAATTAGCCTGGCATGGTGGCAGGCGCCTGTAATCCCAGCTGGTCAGGAAGCTGAGGCAGGAGAATTGCTTGAACCTGGGAGGCAGAGGTTGCAGTAAGCCGATATTGCACCTCTGCACTCCAACCTGGGCAACATAGCAAGACTCCGTCTCAAAAAAAAAAAAAGAAAAAAAAAAAAGCCTAAGACACACAGCTCATATGCTGAGGATGGCAAAAAATAAAGAAGACAGAAAGACAGACTAAAAATAATTTACACCTCTGAACGCAAAATTACGTCACCAACTGTCTATAATGGTTAACCAGTTCTCCATGGGCCATCTACTAATTGTTGTCAAGCATTCCATCTAATACATTTTCTCTTATTTATGCATTTGGTACATGCAAACCTTCTGAGTGTATCAGAAAAATTCACCAATAATTCAAGTTCTTACATGGATAGTAGGCAACTCTAGAAAGAAATGGAAGTTTTTGTCTTTGTCTCCTGAGAATGCTCAGAAAAAGGTGTGGTAAAGTACTGAATTCAGAAAATAAGTTTTGACTCCATTGCTTCTGACTCAGACAGAATACAGAAAAAGCACCACCAGCTAAAGTTTTCTAGCACACATGTTAGGGGAAAAAATGGTGTCTGGCTCTAGTAGAGAGACAAAGCT